TTCTAAAGAAAGTGACCTGTGGTCATTTGGGTGCGTGTTGTATGAATTGTTTTCAGGAGAAAAACCTTTTGTTGCAGATTCTTTTGCAGAACTTGTCACAAAAATTTTTCACGAAAATGTCCCTCATCTGAGATTAGACATGGAAGGTGCAAAAAATGGAGCATTACATGACCTTGACAATGTAATAAAAAGACTGTTAGAGAAAGATCCTACACAGCGTTTAGACTGGAAAGATTTGATAGTACACAGCTTTTGGCAAGGTGAATTAGAAAATCAGTTTAAATCTGCTGATGAAATCAAAGGGGAAGCAGAAACTGAAGATCAGCAAGAATTAAATGATGAAGGAAAGAGTGAAGAGTTACACAGTGGAAATGTTGGGGAAGAGAAAGAACATGTCGAAACCAAGAGTGATCAATTACATCTGCCAGCACAGATCGTCAGGCAGGGAACATATACCTTCAGCAGCAGGCCACATACGGCTGATCCTGCTTCAGGTAGTAAGGAAAATGAATCTCTAGGCAAAACCCATACAGTGGTCAGAAGAAAAACATTAGATGATCAAGATGAGAGTGAGTCCAACTCAACTAAAAATGCAAAAAGAGATTCAACAAATGTAGTTTTTGGAACTTCAGAATCAAAGAACAATAAATCAAACCTGGTGAAACAAAATCGAACATTCAAAAAATCTGACCTCAATAACCTGAAACAGAATGGACTTAATCAAAGTGAAGCTCAGGAATCTAAAAGTTCAGTACTTCAGGATCAGCAGGTTAAAGACAACAGAAGTCCAACTCATAACAAAATTTCAGATTTAGTGAATCATCCATCAGATTTTATTGTGACACCAATTGCTGATAACCCTCGCATCAAGAAATTTTCCCTTCCCAAATGGGATTCAAAGGCACTACCTTGTCAACCTCTAAAACCAGGAGAGCTTGTGGACCTTCCAAGAGATAAATTTGAAGAGCATTTAACGTCCGTTAGCAGTTTGTTGAGTCAAAATGACAGAGCAAATGCTGGCCCTGTTGCCTCTCTTCACCGAAGCAAATTACACACAGCATCTTATTTGGCATCACTGTGCCGAGATGGAGAGATTGTTAATGAAGTCTTTGATTCAGATTTTATACCAGTGATGCTGAGACAGATCAAGTCTGGTTTTTCAGCTGATTTCAAATCAAGACTTGGTAAGTGTCACAAACAACATGTGCTACCCATACCCCATTTTGAGTATGATAGTGTGTTTCTAAGGTCTGTAAACTCTGCCAAGTATATTCCTGGGCCCAGTTGTTCAAAGGCCAATTGGGGCAAAGCCAAGGTTAAATTTGCATTCAGCTTTCTTTTATTCCTTTGTTCAAAAGCCTTTTCAGGATATTTTTCTGTATTCTTTTTAAAGCACCTAATACTGTAATGAAAGTTTAGACAAAAAGAATTGTATTGAATTTTCTTTGAAAACCTCCTGATCTGAATTAAGATCTAACATTAACCCAGGATTGTCTGCCTAGCTTTGAACAACCTACCCTGGCCATCAGCTAATAGAAGCATACAGTTGTTAGTTTTCTGCATGATTCTCCCTTAGCTCCGGTTGGAGCATAGGCCATTAACCACTTCCGTCCTC